TGAACTATGGATGGAGGTTTGTGACATTGTACAGGAGACAGGGATCAAGACCATCCCCATGGAAAAGAAATGCAAAAAGGCAAAATGGTTGTCTGAGGAGGCCTTATAAATAGCTGTTAAAGGAAGAGAAGCTAAAAGCAAAGAAGAAAAGGAAAGATAATCCCATTTGAATGCAGAGTTCCAAAGAATAGCCAGGAGAGATAAGAAAGCCTTCCTCAGGGATCAATGCAAAAAAATAGAGGAAAACAACAGAATGGGAAAGACTAGAGATCTCTTCAAGAAAATTAGAGATACCAAGGGAACGTCTTTTTGTATAGTCTAATGCAAAAGTTCAGCACTTTGCACTTTGCAGGAACCGAAAGCATATTTGAAAAACATTAAAGAACTGACTTATCAAGTGGACCTGACAGGATCAAAGCTTCCTAATTCTCAATCTGGTGTTCTTTCTACCAAGTAATACCATAATCAACCCTTAAGATGAAGTCAATAGGAACTTTAATATAAAATAATAATCATAAAAATGTTAATATAATACTTACATCAATACCTTGTATGGCAGGTATTGTAAATGCTAGTCTTATCTTTCAATGTTCAAACAGCCAGATGTCCTAGATATTTTTATGTTCCTCACTTTTATCCTCTCAGCCCACTTTTCCACTCTCGTCTCCCCTCAGTCACATTACTTGTCTGTTGCTTTTTACCAGTGCTCTGTGCCTCTACTGAGGGGGATGCCAGGGGTATCTCTCTTATTCACACTGATGCCTGCACAAACTTGAAAGTTCAAGGAGGTACACACCCTAAGGAAACAACCCCTGACTAATGGCACCAGGGAGCTAATAGACAAACCCCTTTCCTACCCCTGAACTATCTTTTATTGCTTCACAAGGAGGGCCCATTAGAATCTCAGATCATCTTCTACATCCTCACTCATCATCCTTTGGACCAACCTGTTTTATTCCTTCCACTCCCTGATTCTAGAGATCTAATGAAGCCTAAGAATTACTTTCCAAACTAAACCATCCATACATAACCCTTCTTCTCAGACTCAGTATTTTGGGAGAGCCCAAGCTAAAATTCCTGTGAGATAGTTGCACTGTTAATAGCCTAGCATTCAGATGAAGAAAGTGAAGCACAGAAAGGTTACATCAAACGCTCAAGGTCCTACAGGCAGTAAATGTAGATGGGATTCAAATCCAGGGAATCTGATACCAGTCCATACCTTTAAATACTTAAGCTTCTCTTTCTTTATAGGAAATGAATCTTGAAGTAAAATATTTTCTGCCTAATTAGTTATAAATTGTTATGAGGTTACAGTGTTGTATAATTGTATGTGACAATATTATATAATTGGTTCATTATCCAATACTGCAGGGTATTAATATTTATTAAGCAACTACCTGCTCTATGTGAAGTACTTTATATTATCTTGTTATTTCTCAAAGCACTTTGAATCTTTAATATTTTAAAAATTCATTTTACATGTAAAAATATTAGAAAATCTAAGTAACCTGCCAAAGTGACAGAGCTGGTAAGGGCTAGAACCAGGAATGCAACCCTCTCATCTATTTGTTTAACAAGTAAGTATTGAGCACCCACAGCATGCAAGGCACTGTTCTGGGAGCTGGGGATATACTACAGGCCCCTGTCTTTTGTCCTGATAGAGGATCTACACAATAATTGCAACAAATAAACAAGAATTCACTGGGTCATGATAATTTGCTTAAAGAAAACAAAACAGGGATGTGACAGAGTCCTGATGCCAAAGGGACACCTAGAAGTTTCTCAACTTTGGCACTACTAACACTTTGGGACTGATAATTCTTTATGATGTGGGATCATCCTGTGCATTGTAGGATGTTTAGCATTATTATGGGATGCCAACAGCCCTCCCCAAGTCCTTTTTGCCAAAATGTAGACACTTCAGACAGTGTTCTGGAGGGTAAAATCACCCCTGACTGAGAACCACTGACCTAGAGTGAAGTTCTTCAGGTGGGATTAGGCTTAGTATGTGTGAAAAGCTAAATAGATTCATAGTAAATAAGGAGGAGAGGGGCAGGAGATGAGCTTACAAAAGTAGGTGGAAACCCCACAAAGCAAGGACTTTTAGGCAACGGGAAATACTTCTGATTTTATATTAGGTTACTCTTGCCTAGTCTGACTTACAAATGCTGTTGCTGTTATTGTTGAAAAGCCAGTTATTCTGTCCCTCTTTATTTTTCAAGAGCTCTTAATAACTCTCAAGCCTTGCCAGTCTCTACCCCAAGTTTCACACCATCCAAGTTCTCTGGACTGCCTTCATTTGTCCTGTGCAGCATTCTCTTACAAGTCCTTAGGGTTTGGCTTTTCGGTTGCACTTGTGTCTTTTCGTTCCTTGGTGTCTTTTCCATGTGATTCTTCACCTAGAACACAAAGCCCTGCTCTTCCTGCCTGGAAAACTCCTAGTCACGCTTTAAGAGCCAACTCAAGTATCTGCTTTTTCAAGATACCTCCCCAGTACCCTTCCCAGAGGCAAATACCATAGCATATATGGTGGTGCATTATCCTCCTTTACATCTGAATCAAGTTCTTCACTCCTACAGCAACTTCCCCAAGGGTATGAGACAAATCTTGGTCAGCTTTAATTGTCAAAAATTTATGTTACTATTCTGAGCCTTCTTCCAAAACATAAGAATACTACCTAAGAAAAATTGTTTCTTTAAGAGATGTATTCTCAACTTTTTATTTACTAAATACTGATTGGTACATTTATCTGAATAAAACAGATCACATACACACAGTCACTAAAATTTAGTAACTTAGAAAATATAGCTTTAAAGTTATATTAGTTATAATGACATTCCTTCAAGAGAACTACCCACCACATAAGTACACTTTTAACTTTATGCTGGGTAGATCAAGGGCCAAAAATAATAAACATGAGGATCATAATCACTGAGAGGGAGCAGTGCACTCCAGTTGTGACTGATAAGTTTAAATCTTCTCTCATCCCACCCTGTAAGCATTAGGACATGTCCCACCCTGCAAGGATTAGGATCCAATCATCTGGAGTAAATAGATCAAGGAGTTTGTAAGCCATGGGTCCCATAAAATTTCCTCTCACAAATGCATTGTTATAATAAATGTCTTTAAAGCCAACGGTGTTGATTTTATATGTATTCAGATAGTCAATGAAAAGACTGAGAAAAGAGAAAGCAGCAATAAAAATCTGCCACTACATGAGTCCAACTGTAAGCAATGTGGTGATCTGTAAACTTGGCTGAGTAAAAGTGAAATACTGGACTAATGAAAAAGATAGTTAGAAAAATCAACTCTTGAATCCAAAGCTAAGCTAAATCAGAACAAGGTTCTACTTTCACTCACCACTGTGTTTTGCACATAAAAGGCATTTAATAAATTGCTGTTAAGTGCATGAATATGCCTTGTCACGCACCTGTTTTCTTAATATTAAAATATCTGATACATTATGCTCTTTTCACATGATTCACAAAGTTTGAACTCTGGCAAAACAACAAACCTAGGCAGAAGTTTGAGTAGTTCATTCCAGGGAGAAAAAGTAAACCAAAGTGTGTGGTACACTTGCTTTTCAATGAAACCATTAAAAAAGATTTCTCAACCCCCCTTTTCTTCATTCTTCTGCTTTAGTACGTGAACCAAAAACTCAAATGGACAAGGTAGAGCTGAGCACAAACCTCTCTTTTGTAGTATTTGCCAACAGGAATAAAAGAGCCAAAAGGAACCCAAAACACTGTTCTATGTTCTCTTCGATATCACTCATCACAGTTACTGTCATCACATAATATTTATTGCAGTTGACCCTCGGACTACTATGGGAAGGTCATTTTTCAAAATGATTCTAGCTGCTACTTCTAACCAACAGCAAATTTACCTAAGACAAAGATGTGATTCCACTGGGCCCACTTTGTATTATCAACCATGGAAGCATTATAATTGAAGACAGATTACAGTTAACTCAGGAAATTCTCTGTGTTAATCCCTTAAAATAATAACAGTGAGTTGGAAGGACTGGCTTCCTATTTTTATTTTTAAAAAGGAAAGAAATAAGAAAGAGAGAATAAGTTAGGACCTTTTCATTTTTAAAAGAAAAGACAAGTTACAGTAATTGGTTTGGTTTTATTTTTGCACTAACCTTACCAGTTGTTTGAGGGGAAGTGTATATTCAAATAATTTAACAGGATGGGAAAAAATCCACCTGTCAATGCAGGAAATATGGGCTGGATCCCTGATCCAAGACTATCCCACATTCCATGGAGGTACTAAGCCTGTGTGCTGAGCCCTTGATAGAGCCAGTGCTCCACAACAAGAGAAACCACTGCAATGAGAAGCTCAAGCACCACAACTAGAGAGTAACCTCCACCCCAGCCAGCAGCAATGAAGACCCAGCACAGCCAAAAGTAAACAAATTAAGCTTACAAAAAAATTTAACAGTATGTATGTGTAAAAACAGCCTAAGTATCAGTCTCCAAAAGCTTTTAGAAAACTACCATTGCCCTTCAAAAGAACTGTTCATGTTTAATTTAACTTTTCAAAAAATCAAAGGAAGCAATTACTCTCCACATTGTATATCACAAACTATTTCCCCACATCTTTAGCTAATATTATTTTATTTTTCATAATAATCCAAATAAGCATACCTTCAAAGTTGCTTTTTTGTAAATGACTTTCTTCTTTTTTCACTTTCTTCCACTGTCCCCTTCCAATTATTCCCCAAGATTGTGCAGGACTGTTGTTCCCTAAAACGGCTACCGCACTATTTCCTATCCCGTATTTCTTCTACAACCTAGCTGTCCCTCCATCAAGACCTGGAGTCTGGAGTCCCTTCTTCAATGGAAGTTGGCCTTTGCGACAGGTGACGCCCTGTCACTTACAAAGCTCAGTCACGAAAGGCAATCCACGTCCCCTTTCGTTCTCTTTCTCTGCATGCTACTGGAAGTCAGCCTCTGTGCTGGAAGCAAGCCCGAGCAACCCGTGGATAGACTCATATGAAGAGGAATCAAAGCTCTCTGACTCGACTCTACAGGTGCCTGAGGCGAGCTGGGGCCATGCAGCACCAGCTTCACCGCCAGGGGTCGCGAGGACAAGAAGCAAAATGGCCGCGGGACAAGGTCGCGGCTAGTTACCGCGAGAAGCCACGGGAACACCTGCTGGAAACACCTGACGGGCTTCCACACGCGGACAGAGCGGCGAACGAAGGCAGTCACCGAGACCCAGCGGTTCCTCAGGGAGGCGCGGAATCTGCTTCAGAAGGAGCACCACCAGTTTTACTTGATGGTCCTGACAGCGGAGGCAAGGGAGCTGCCCTGGTTTGTACAGCAGAGACAGAGTCAGCGCAGCAAGACCGTCCCAACCTTAGTCACTGGCCCTGGCATGGATCTGAGGAGAAGCCAGAAGTCATCCTGGAGATGCAGGCCTCACCCTCACCCAGAGAGCCCTCGCTCTCCCAGCATATCTCTCCCACAGCCTCGCTGCACACACAGTCACAAAAAGGTCAACAGGAAACATTCCAGGACTCCACCAAGACACCGCCACTGCCATTGGTACCCTCAAGTGCCGGTGCTGAAGGACAGGCAAAGCCGGCACTGCTGGAAGTGAGACCCGAGAACAGGCCGCGCCCCAACCAGGCTACGAGAACCGGACCTGTCTGCCTAGCTGTCGCTGTCACTCTGCGCCGCACTGATCGATGACCCTTTTTCCCAAGATCAGGATGTGGAACCCCTCGGGCCTAGAGCTTGGACCCAAGAAGAAGCAGGTAGCTCAGAGCTGGCTTACCCTGAGAGGAGCCTTCAGAGCCAGGTTTGGGCATCTTCCCAAATGTATACCCCGCTGGGCCCTCATGAGATTTGTGAAACTAAAAAAACTAAAACTTTTTTTTTTTTTTTTACAAACGCCCTCAGCCTCAGCCCTTGCTAAGCTTCAGAGTGACAGTCAACACCTATCTGACACAGACATGTGAGTAACCCATCTTAAAAGTAGATCCTTCAGATCTCTTTGAGGCCATCCTGCTGATGCCAGCCATGGATCAGACAGGCCATTCCCACTGAGGTCTAGCCAAATTACATAATTTAAGCAAAATCAGTAATTGTTTGTCTTTTAACCCATTAAATTTGGAGGTAGTCTGTTATGCAACAATAGATAACTGATACATCCTCCCTAATGTGTGTCTAATCTGTCTTTACACTCCCATTGTCAATGTCCTAAATTCAGGTTCTCATAGCTTGCCTAGAGTATTGTAATAACTGATTTTTTTCCCTTCTCTCTAGTCTCTCCCTGGTTGATTTTCATTTCCACAATCCATCATCTGTCTTGCTTCCTTACATCTTGTTTACATATTGTGTGTATTCCCCCAAAACAGGAAAAGTTCAGACTGTGATCTGAGTTTTCAGCATCTATCTCTGATTCTGAATTTGAGTTATCCATTAGAATTACCCAAGGAATTTTTTAAACCAATACCTGAGACTCAATTGAGAGATTCTCATTCAGTTGGTTTACAGTGGGAACTATTCATTGGTATTTCTTAAAGCTCTTCAGATATTCTAAAGGGCACCCAAAGTGAGAACCACTGAAGCCACTGGGAGTGGAAATGAACATGTAGGGGGTGAGTGTAATGAGAACAGGGCCAGCACCAATATTCAAGATATGAGTAAAGGATTTGGATAACACTGATCCAGAGTTTTAAAAGTAGGAGGAAAAAGTAGAGTTTTAAAATATCAATAAAGAAAAATGACTGGAAAGTAGACATAGAAATGTCAGGATACCAAGCATAGTTCAAAATGTTTATGAAGTTCTCTTGTGTTATTTTATTATAATAAAATGATTAATACAGTCCTGATAGGCTAAGTTGACTTCTGAGCTGAGAAGGAACTCACATGAATCCATTAGGACACAATTTCATTCACATCTTTGTGTATTTACCAACCCTATCATAATATATTGAGTACCTACTGTTTGTCATTCATGCTAGGGAATGAACAACACAAAATTCTTGCCCTCAGGGAGCATTTTTTCAAATTGGATGTGACAGACAAAAAATAAGCAAGTGCATAATGTGTCAGAAGTTAGTAAATAATATGAAGAAAAGTAAAGAAGGGAAAGGGGAAAAGGAACACTAGGGCAGGAGTAGGGGATGGAATGTGGAGAGTATTTTTTAAAGGGGTCAGGAAAGTCTTCAGTGGTAAAGTTTTCTTTGAGCAAAGACCTGAATGAAGTGAAGAAGGCAGTCATGTAAGTGAATAACTGATGGTACAGTGACAGAACAAAGAGCAAGTGAGAGCATGCTTGAGGATTATAAGATACAGCAAGGAGGCCAGTGTAGCCAGGATGAAGGTAGTAGGACATGAAGTCAAAGAAATAACAGGAGAAAAAATAGGGGTTTTAGGAGTGGGTAGGAGAAACTGACAGGTAGTGGTTCTTTATCTTACTTTAGAATCACCAAGAGAGACTTTCAAAATACCCATGCCCAGTCCACACCCTCAGAGATCTGTTTGAATTTAAGAAGGAGCTCAGACAGCAGCAGTTTTCAGATGTTCCCAGTTTATTGAGAATAATTACTGTAATGATTTATATGGATTATAAGTCACTTAAATTCTATAGATTTGCTCTGAGAGAGATGAAAAAGTCATTGAAGGTTTTTAATGAGAGAAGAGGCAAGATCAATATTTCAATTAGTTCATCCTAGCTGCTCTATGGAGAAAACATTACAGGGCAAGGAAGGACCCATTCAGACCACCTATCACTATTTTGAACATTTTCTGTAGTGAACATGCATAGCTTTTGTATTAATAACAGAAATTTCACATTTAAAAACATCTAAAAATATATCAAAGGGCTATATATTAATAAGCAGAGTATTACTTTCTCTATTAACCCATTCTTCCAGATGTCTTTCTCAAGAAAAAACTTTCATGACAGGTAGTGGATTGTGTATTATTTGGCTAGGGTTACTAAAACAAAGTAGGGCTTCCCTGGTGGCTAGATGTTAAAGAATCTGCCCACAATGCTGGAGACCTGATCCAATCCATGGGTTGGGAAGATCCCCCAGAGAAGGAAATGGAAAGCCACTCTAGTATTCTTGCCTGGAGAATCCATGGACAGAGGAACCTGGCAGGTTACAGTCCATGGGGTTACAAAGAGTTGGACACGACTGAGCGACTAACACTGACTGACTGACTATAATGAAGTATCACAAATTAGGTGGCTTAAAACAAACAGAAATGTATTATTTTACAAATATACAGGCTGGAAGTCCAAAATCCATGTGTCAGCAGAGCTATGCTCGATCTGAGACTCTAGGTAGAATCCTTACTTGCCTCTTCCTAGTTGCTGGTGGTGGACAGTTCTTTGGCATTACTTGGCTTGCAGTTTCGTCTGTCCCATCTTCGCCATCACATAGTTGCCTTCATATCAGCTTCCTTCTTTGTGTATATTCATCCAGATTTCCTTTTTGTCAAGACACAAGTTATATTGGATTAGAGCATATCTTAATCACTTCGTTTTTGTTGGTTAAAGCTGCAAAAATCCTAGTTCCAAATAGCATCATATTCTGGGGTATTGGTGGTTAGGACTTCAGCATATCTCTTTTTTGTGGAGGGGAGCACAATTCAACCCATATAGATTGGTCTTTAATAAGAAATAATATAATTGATACCATGCACTATGTTCTCTATCAAGGCAGAAATAGATAAAGAAAAAAGTAGAACTATTCTCAAAAAGTTAATCAAAGTCTTGAAATAAAGGATGATTACCCAGAGAAGGATAAGAATTTTATTACCTTTAGAAGCATATTTTTTTATTCTCCCACTTTTTCCATTTCAGCAGACATTTCTCAGAAAATGACCGAAAATGATGAAAAATAAACTATGTTGGTGACTTTCCTTCATGGAACATGAATTTTCAGTGCTTTAGTGAGTTACATTTATATCTGGATCCTTTAGCCTTTATGGCCAGTAATTCCTTAGACAAAAATTTGCTGAAATTAGGGAAGTTACCCACATCTCTCAAATTGGTTTCACAATTCCAGGGGAGTGTAAATTAGAATTTAATTAACATTAACCTGAGAGAGAATGGAGGTCAGCCCATGAACATGTTTAAAACATGTCTAACTTGCTGAGCAACTTAATTTTACCTAATGAAGGCCTTTTTTTTTTCTTTTTCAGCAGCAAATTGAAAAGTTTTAGGCTGACAGATAAACTTTGTAGAGTACTTTGTTGAATGCTGGCTTTGAAAACCAGTAGCAAATTCCATAAAGAAAAATAAGAGCAACATAATTCTTAGCCTGAAGCTATCCCCCAGCAAGGCAAATCCTTATCAAGAAGCCACTGGTGACCCAAGTAACCAAGTTGAGCTGAAGTTAATGTGTTTGTATATATGCTGTACAAGGAAAGTGAGCATTCTGTCATGAGACATAGAACAAAAGAAGATGAGGAACAAACACCTACTTCTTGATATACTATCAAACATCATTCATGGAATTACTCTAAAAGTACACGCAGTGAAGTATAAACTGTGTTTGACCCATCTGTTATCTGGAAGTCAAATAATCTTCAAATTCATTTACTTCCACTAATCAGCTACACATTCTTTCTCCAGCTTCTACCATCTGCTTTTAATTAACAAAACAATCAGCATTCCAAACTGAAATGATAAATAGCTAATCATCACAGACTGTCAGCTTACAGGTGTATTCAAAAAGAAAAGAAATAAATAACCTTATTTAATTTCAAAGAGACTTGAAATATGAATCCAGAACATTGCCAAAAGTTACCTTATTTCTTTGACATCATGAGAATTTATAAATGAAATCCACTCTAAGTAAACAGCTATAAAATAAATTTGGGTTAACAAGATTAACAAATAGTGTTATTTTAGGCTGAATTGTTGAAATAAAATTTAAACGATCCCAACTTTTCATGGAGAAAAGTTTAACTGTGAAGAAAATATCACCTCCTTCAATACCAACAACTGAAACTTTATACATCAGAAGTTAGCTAATGAGATGTTTATCTTTGTATTATATTTACATTGATTTTGGTGAAAAAAAAACAACAAATGCCTACTCTTTTTTCAAACAATGCAAATCAAGGTCAAGAGAAAGAAATGAAATTAGCATTCATGAGTGTCTACTATGTATTGTATATCACGAATTCAGTCCTGTAAGCAGCCCTGTGGAGATTTTTTCCCCAACTTTAAAGATAAGACTACTGAGCCTTGGAGATAAAAGTCAAGTTGAGAGTCAAACTCAGGACACTCTGTGATTGATAGGTACCTTCTACTGCCTGATTAATAACTGATAAATAGCAAAAATCTTTATAGGAGAAAGTTTTGCTGTATTTGTATAAAGGAGACTACTAGATTGACAAGTATTGGTGTTCAAAAAATAAGCAATTCACTTTTCATTACTACTTTCCTCATCAAGGCTAAAGCCTAAATGATTATATGTATAGTTTGTGTGTATGTATGTATATGTGTATATTATGTATATATATATTCTGAAATACTTAAGACAATATTAATTTTTTAACCTTCTGGATATATTTTTTTTTTATTTTAACAATGATAATTCCAGTCTCTGAGAAAGTTGCTAGCTGCAGATGGTCAGCATATCACTTCATGATCAGTTCCCTTTCTGACAAAGCCAGTGAGAGATTATAATGTTTTTACTGGGCCTGTCAATTCCATAATACAAGAC